GGGGGTGGGGGGTGCTTAAGATGAGCTAAGCTGTGTGGCACCTAGAGCAAGCCGGTGCAGAGCAAGCGCTGGGCAAATGCGGGCAATTCTGGTTACTCTGAAAACCTTTCCAATTTGCCTGTCTTGTTCAGGGTAGTTTCGTGTATGGGGCGGGGTAGGAAGTGGAATATTTACTCCCCATGTTTACCTACTGGCCTCGCTTAGTGAACTGGCCAGCATGCGGGCAGAGCCACGGTGCTTATAGAGTGTCTGCATATGTCAGGGTCTGTTTAGCTCAAGGGGAGTGTCCTGAATAGTGCGCCTCTGGCCTGCTAGCGGGCGAGCCACTGAGTGCATCTCTGCCTGGCACTGCCTGCAGGTGGCTGCTGTGGCCAGTGACACGGGCTCTGTGCAGAGAGAGGCTGGAGCCCCTCTCCCCTCCTGTCCTCGGTCCTGTCCTGCAGCTTTCCTGTCTCCTCCCCCACCCCCTGCGTGGGCCTGGAATCTGCGAGATGCCAGGGTAGACAGACTCTGAGCCCTTCCCTACAGTCCTGTGAGCCTCCCTCCCAGCAGCCGGCAACCACAGGGTGGAGTGTATGGAAGTCAGTGCTTCCTCTTCAGGGACAAGAGACTCTCTTTGGAAACTCCCAGCCACACAGGGGTGTCTGGCCTGTGCAGGAAGAACCCAGCTGGACCAGAGTGACCTGCCAGCAGCTGGCTCTTATCTGTAGCACAGAGCTCAGCGTGGTCGAGCAGCTCCATGGGTCTACAGATCAGGTGAGGCCCCACTGACATGGGGAAGGGTGGCACAGGAGTGGGCGGCCCCCATTGTAGTACTGGGCAAGATGGTGAGAAGGGGGTCTTGGGGCATCAGGAAAGGAAATGCTGGCATCTTGGAGTCCAGATGTCTCTTACAGAATTCAAACACTTCTCGGATTCAAACCGCCTGGACCCTCCGTGGCTTCTCAGTGTCTTAGGAACGAATTCAAACCCTACCTGAGGCTGGCTCCCCCCCCCCGGCTTTGTTTTGCCCCCTCCTAGCATCACTTAGACACAACAGTGTCTCAGACACGCCCCCAGTCATTGCCCTCGCACTTCTGTCAGCAAGCAATGCCCTTCTCTTGTTTCCTCCAAGACTGGCTGTTTCATTTTCAGGTTGCGGCTTGGTTATCTCTCCCTTGTGTGGCCTTTCCTGACCCCCTCTGTTGAGGCCTGTCACTGTTTTGCTTGTTTGTTTGTAGCTGGTCTTGAACACCATAATGGCAGGGACTATGTGTGTCTGTAGGTCTGTCCCTATAGCGGTACCTGCCACAGTACGTGGGTGCTCAGTGGCGACTGTGTGAAGAATGAGTGAATACTGAGTGAGTAAATGAATGAGCGGGTGATGCAGAGGGTGGTGATTGGGGCTGTGGCTCCAGCTTAGCCCTGACTCACCGTGTGCCCTGGGCAAGCCACCGCCCCTCTCTGAATTTCAGTTTCCGTAATTGCAACATGAGATTAAATGCAGTTTGAATTCTAGCACCATTGGGCAAGTAACTGAATACCATACACTACCCCTCACCATTGGCCCCGGCGTCCCACAGGCTTGGGACACCAACACTGACACACTGTTTTTGGTAAATTCAACAAGAATTTGTCACTGACAGGTGTGCCTCCACAGTTTTGGCAAAGAAAACCCAAACTGGCAAGGTGTTCGTAGGTGGCACAAAATTCAGTCATGTCAATTTTATTTCTCCACAGTTGGGCATACACACACAAGCCTTTAAAAATCTCAAAGGTTCTTCTACCACATGACCCAGCAATTTCACTTCTAGGTGTTTATCCAGAAAAAATGAGCACACTAACTTGAAAGATAGCATGTTCTTTTGGGTGAGAGGCTGACACAAAACACAACAAATAAAATAGATAGTGTGTTGTATGCAGATAAGTGTTATGGAGAAAAATATAAGATAAACCAAGGAAAGAGGGAGCCATGTAGGTGTCTAGAGGAAGAGCATTCCAGGCAGAGAGAACAGCAAATGCAAAGGCCCAGAGGTGGTGGCAGGTCTGGCATATCTTAGGAACAGCAGGAGGTCAGTGTAGCTGATAAAGAGTGAAAGAGAGAGAGTGTGTAGCTGGCAAAGAGTGAAAGAGAGAGAGTGTGAGGAGGGGGTTCCGAGAAGGCTCGGGGTGCAAATAGCAATCCTAAAGCCCTTCCTTGGCTTTACTCTGAAATGGGAGTCACTGGAGGGGTTTCAGCAGAGGAATGACACATAACTAGACTTTTTTTTTTTTTTTTAAGACAGACTCACACTGGCTGCCATTGGAAGCATGGCCAAAGGCTAGGACCTCTTGCTACCACCCAGGTAAGAGATGCCGGTGACAGAGGCTGAGGTGGTAATGGTGGTCTAGTAAGAAGTGGCTGCATTTTGGATGTATTTTGAAGGTCAAGCTGAAAAATTTGCTCACAGGTTGGCTGTGGGGTATGAAAGATGAGTTGGCTCAGTTTTCCAGTTGCTCTCTCAATTTTCTCAAGTAATCTGCTATTACTGGGCATTTAGGAGGCTTCCAGCTTTTCACTGTTACACAGGAGATGGTGTGAGCATGGCTGTAGACAGATCTGCACACCACCTGGAATGATTTCCCTGGGGTAGTTCAGTCTTTCTAATGCAGCATTTCCCAACCCCAACCTACTGCCTATTACCTGTGCAGGTATTTACCTGGAGGCAGTGTGGGTGGTGGTTAGAGCCTGACTTTCGGTGCCAGGTCCCTGAGGGTGAACTTGGCTTTGCTGTCACTACTTGGGTAGGTTAATTAATTTTCCTGTGCTTCGGAGTCCTCATTATAAGGTAGGGATAATGATAGCCAGCCCCCGGGTGTGGGATTTACTGAGTTTGTGTATGTGAAGCCTGGCCCATAGTAAGAACTATGTAAATGTCAGTTCTTTTTCTTTAACTTGGCCTTACATTTTAAAACCTCCAAATACAAGTGTTCTAAAAGGAACATTTATATTAATGCCTCGAATGGAAAACTAGTGTCGTTTGCTTGGAACAATGAGGAATCATCACGGTGTTAGAGAGGTGCTCCAGCCCGTAGAACTTACCAGAGTCGCCGGCCTCAGCTCAGACAGAAGGACAGAAAGAGAGATGATGTATGTAACTCCTCACACTCCCAGAACACGGTTCTTGGACTTCACAGTATTAAGGCTTACTGATCCCTCAAGGGTGCGTTGTATTCTGCCACCAACAGCCTTCCTGGCTTCTCATTTCACAGAGAGAGAGTGGGGAGGGGCACTTGTGCTGAGAAACTCTCTGGTTCCCTCCAGTTGCAAGGTGGCCCGGAAAGGGGGATGCTGGCGGCCGGGTCGCGCAGCCAGGGCGGGCCGGCCCTGCGGCAGCCCTGCGGGTCTCAGCGGAGCCCTGAAGGCCGACCCAGCGGGGGGAGGCGCCAGGGCCGGGGGCGTGGCCAGCGGGGAAGGTGGGCGGGGCCTAGCTCAGAGGGGCGGAGGCGCCAGAGCCGGGGG